CTCTCTCTCTCTCTCTCTCTCTCTCTCTCTACCAGTCACTCTTTGCCTCTCTGCTCGTGCACTAGCATGGCAATGGACGCCAACAACGCTGGAACGCGCAGTGCACGAGTGAGGCATGTTCGAACGGTGCGCGCCCTTATATCCTATGTCACGGGGAAATGCGGGCTGTTACCTTTTTTTTTTTTTTTTTTTTTTTCGTTGGGGACAGTGACGTACCCCCGTTCACCGTTCACGGGGTCTTTGGACGGAGACCGGTCACGGAGTTCATGGCGTTCACAACAGGGGAGTTCATGGAGTTCACGGAGAGCAGTATTTTTTTTATTTTTATTTTTTTGGCTGGGGGGGTATGTTTTTTTTTTTTTATAGGAGGGTGGGGGACATCGAAGGGTAACTCCCTATAATGTTTTCAATTTTGTTTTTTCACGAATAATATTTTTTTTAATTAAAAACGAAAAAAAAAAATTCAACCAGCCATATAAGCATTTTCGTTTGCTATTTTCTAGGTCATTTCGTTTTTTTTTTTTTTTTTCAATGTCACCACGCTGTGGGGCTTGAGGCGAATGTACCTGGGGGAGCCCAAACAAACAAACAAAAAAAAATAAAAATAAATAAATAAATAAATGAATAAAAAAATTCCCACTCTTTAATGGTCGACGGTCGTCTCGTTCACCGTGAACGACCGTTCACAAAAAAAAACACCAAATGAACGGCCAATCACATTCAAGTGACCGGTGCCGGTCACGTTCACGGGATCAGGACTGGTTGGGGACGTTGTGCCTGCGGGCTGTTACTGTTTTTTTTTTTTTTTTTTCGTTTCCGGGGACGTTGTGGCCTACGGCAATGCCCCACAGCCCCCCCCAACTTCCCCAAGAATCACCAACCACCGCCGCCCAACAGCCCCGCCCAACCCCGCAACACCACCTTCGCAAACTCGTCAATCGCGTTTACCCTCGTTCACTGAACGCACGTTCAGTGCGTTCAAAAGCTGAACACGGAACGCGCATTCAATGAACGCGCGGTAACACAGCCGTATCACCAACCCTCGGCAGGCGCGACCATGCAGGAAGGGAGGCCTGATCTGAACGCCGTTGCGGAATTTCCTCGATGCGTGAAGCGTATTGTTTGTCACTTCAATAGCTTGCGGGCGACCAGTGACGGTGAGGGAGCACGACCGAACGGTGGTGCGAGCGGGGCGGACTTTCTTGACATTGAAGACGACGATGGTGACGACGAAGAAGAAGACGAGGCTGTCGTCAAGGAAGTAGCCGCCAGTGGGAACAAAAGCAAGCTTCCAAAGGTCGTGGGAAAGCGAAGGGGAAGGATAAGGAAGGTGATAGAAACGTCGAGGGTGGCGGGAGCGGTGCGTGGGGGAACTGGAATTTGAACGAGTCCCTGGTTCTTGTCCGGTGCAAGAGAGACCAAGACGACTACTTTGCTAATGCGGGAACCAACTTCGCCAGAATGAAAACCAAGGACCAGAAGTGGATGCCACTGGATGGAAGGAGTTTGGCGGGATGGGGACCAATGCATGAAGAGGTGGGAGAACATATTCGGGTGGTACAAGAAAGTGTGGGACAGGGAGAAGGACTCGGGACTGCAATCGTACTTCCTCATGAGCACGAAAGCACGGAAGGAGAAAGGGTACAGGTTCAATCTAGACCGCACTTTGTATGACGCGATCCACATCATGCAGGGGAACAACCAGACCGTTCACCCGCCGAATCTCGTGGACATAGGCAACAGACAAGGACAACAATCACAACAAGGAGACCACAGCCAACTAAGCCAAGCGGCCGTGGACGGGGGGGAAGCAGACACTTCGGCAAGCGAGAATAAGGAAGCGGATGCGGGTGACGGGTGTGGCAGCAGGTCGTCTTCGAACGGCATGCAGGGCAAGCGGAAGAATGCCAGGCAGCTGGCTTTCGAGGCGGTGACGGATATGATGAAAACGCACTTCACCGTAGTCGCGGAGTCTGTGGACCGCGCGAGCAAGCGGCAGTTCGACACCGCGACGCACTCCAGAGGCGGGTCCATCTCACCAATCAACCCTCCGGGCATGAAGACGTCCGCGAATTGTGTCCCATGTCGGAGGGTGGACGACGTTGTCGGGGACACGTATTAAATCAGAGAGTAGTGTGTGTCCAAGGCCGCCTTGAAAGATCGCTTATGGGAGATGACATGGTGTAGGTGCGCGGAAGGTGGGCGGTGCGTGTGTGCGAATCCTTGTTAGTTGGCGGCGTGTGAAGGTCATACGTGCGGCGAAGTAGAGGGAGGTAGGCAAGGTGGTCCTCGAAGGCGAGGATGGTCAATTGCTCACTCATGTTCAATTCAGGAACGCAGTGCGGATAGTGATTTCGTAGGTGGTGGTAATCGCGGGGTCGTCCTCTTGGATTCCAAGATCGGACATCGCAGTTGCGTCAGGGTGCGGCGGATGGCGGCGGTGCTCATCAATGGACATCCAGGTGGCACTTAGAGGCCGTGTCCTCGGTCGAACGATAACATTCTACGAGATGAGGCATCGTCGCAGAGAGGAGGACGGTAGGGTGTTTGATTTCGCGAGCGCAATCAATCGACGCGAAGTGCGGCATTACGAGGTGGACGCGAACGGAGATACAATTCTCCACGTAAGCATCGCTTTGGGATATGCGGATAACATGCTGCACAATGTCGTCGGCTATGCAACGAAAGTCGGTCGCGCAATCCCCAACCGCTGGGAAGGAGGAGTGGACGTCCTCGCCGACATCATCGACCTCCTCATGTCCAACATTGCAAACGAGCATGAGGATCTCATGACTGATCCCGCGGATTTCCGGGTGCACCCCGATCCTCCTATGCACGACCGCCCAGGTCTCCGCGGCGAGATCCGCATCATCGAAGAGTAGATCCGGATGGAGGCGTTGGCGGCAAACCGTTGGCGGCAAACCGTTGGCAGCTCGCGGAGAGAGAGAGAGAGAGAGAGAGAGAGAGAGAGAGAGAGAGAGAGAGAGAGAGAGAGAGAGAGAGAGAGAGAGCGAGCCACAGTGGGAGATGGTCGTTACGATATTTGTGACGACGTTGTCATCGGGTGAATGGATGACGCCGGTTTTGATCGTGCAAGTCAGTCCACCGCACAATCTGGCAGATGCTCCTGTCAACCTAGTGAGAAGACGAGCGGACAGAGGCGAATTGGAGTCTTCATTTTGTTCATTACACTTCTCCTGACTTGTTTTTTTATTTTTTTTCCTTATGGAATGGACAACGCGTGCATGTCCCTGTTAGTTGTAGGTGTGGGATGTTTTTTGTGCTCACCGTTTAGTTGTGCTGCAACATTTGGTGCACGCACATGGCATGGGTGCTTGTTGTTTCCGGCATCGGTATGAGGTTTTCATTACCATTTCGTAGTTGTCATGCAAGCGCAGTTCGTATTCTTATAACTGCCGTGCATTTCTGCATCGCTTTGAAGTGTTGATGATCATTTTGTGTGTGTTCGAGTTTGCACACACATGGTACTTGTGTTTCGCTTTCTTTGTCGCCGGGTGTGCGGATATGAAACAACTTCGCTCGTGTATTTTTGTTCACGCATGGACCATTGCATAACTAAGAAAGAACAAGCACACACTGATTGTGACATGTGCAAACATACCAGGCCGAATGAAGTGCAATAACAGCCACGTGGGAGATGAATGCAACAAGAAGGGAAGATGAGCATTGCAAAGCAATGTGCCCATTCTTTCATAATATTAAAAAGGAGAAAGTGATTGCAAAACTAATTCATGACATTGCATCAAAACAAGAGGCCGATTCTGCGAGCTACGATCTCCTCTAGGCGAGCGCTCCTGGCGCACTTCCCCACACCAGGCAACCAGCAGGTCCAGCACTGATTGCTTCTCCAAGCGGAGAAGGATTGACTGGCGCCGGCTAAATCATTTGCTTTTAATAAACCTCGCAATCGGAACAAGTACGGATAGCCGATATGACCGTCATCGGCGCACCCAAAGATTCAATTCGGCATTCGCATATGCAACCCGTGACGCAAAGCCAGGGCAGCGCTGGTTGCGCTGGATTGCGACAATGGCCGTGGTGGATCTTGCAACCCTAGATCAACACGAACTAGATTGCCGCTCTCGTCCGGCTTGAGTAGGAGCGCCTCGTCGAACGGTATGCCCGCCTCAAGCACGAGGTTGTGGATGATACCAACGGCCAGAAATTGCTGTGGTAGATTATCCATGTTCGTCTTGTGATGCCGAAGGAACAACCTCCACATCCCCTTCAACCGCCCAAAAACCCTCTCCACGACTCCTCTCGCCGTCTTCTACCGCGTGTTGAACAAGCTGATGTCCCCCGCCTGATTGGACCCTCCGTAGGGGACCACCATCTGCGTTCTTGGTGAGTACCCATTGTCCCCAAGCAGGTACCCTGTTCTGGATGCTCGCCCGCCTCCGCGCGTCGAAACAGAAGAATTTCTCAAGACCAGCTGGTAGTGGACGCTTCCCGGGTAGCCCATGAACACATCAAGAATCCTCATGTCCAAGTCAACGACGACTTGGGCGACGGCCGAGAACTGTTGTTTCCGGTCGTAGTAGTTCTCTGACGGTGCATTGGCGAGCTTGTCTACATACACGTGTGTGAAGTCCATTGCGCCGAAGCAATTAGGGAACCCCTTCGGTCCGAATGCTCGGGTCACCTGCAGCAGCCGACGACCGTTCGGCATGGTGACTTTGTCAGGATATGCAGCCAGTATTGCATTCGCGACGTCCGTGACGGCCTTCATTCCCGACGACCTGCCGATGCCAAACCTTGATGAAGCGTTCTCAAACATCTCCCCTGTGGCCCACCGGTACAACGTGAAGGCAACGATGAGGTCCGACTGCAAAGGCTCTTTGTAGTGTGTCAGTCAATGCTCGATGAAAGGACTGCAAGCCGCAACAATGTCGCTGAATATGGTCCTTGACATTCGTAGTTTGTCATGGAAATACTCCTCCGTCGCGCCGTCTGCAATGTCCAAGTCCCGCCACGTCCCGCCCGTTCGTTTTTTCATCCACCACCGAGGTGTGTCCCTCGGCAGAACACCAGCAATAATTGCGTTGGACAACAGGAAAGGAGCGTCTCATACACTGGACGCCTGGGCAATGGCGGCCTCCCTCCTCCCCCTACCCCTCCGAGCCGCCCGCCGCAATCCGTTCACTGTCTCCATGTACCGGCACACCACGAGGACAGCACTAGCAACCATGCTCTTCTCACTGGTTGACAATCTCCTCGTCGCCGCCTTATCGCACCCACCGCAGTCCATAGCTGGACTCCGCTGCGTAAACAACGCACACGGCAGTCACGCGAAGCCACGTGCTTTGGCGTAATGGTGGATGAGTGCTGCATACACCGTGGAGAACGCGAGGGCGAGGAATCCAGAATCCGATGTGGTCGAAGCGAAGTGGCAGTGCGGATTTTGAATTCTAATGGTTGGGGTCCTCGCGCGCTTCAACTTTCACAGCCGAATGACGTTGCGCGCCCGCGACAGGGCCACGACCCCCTTGGAGAAATGGCTGGCCCGGGCCCAAATGTGGCGGACAGGATTTCATCCGCTGCAACACCGGGGTGGACATTCGCATTCTCTTCTCGCCCGCGTTAGGCGCAAACGGGGCCACCTGAAACGTAAGTGCGACAAAGTGTAGGGTTTTTGTAAGTGGTTGTGGAACGAAAAACGGGGTAAGGGAAAATTAATCACATTTTCGAAGTAAGGGCGCCCTTACAAAGTAAGTGTTTTCTAGTGGTGTGGAACAAGGCCCTTTGTGGTAGGTCAGATAGGTAACCCGAAAGAAGCCTTTTTTTTTTGTCTTGTCTTTCTTTAGTTCTTTATGCATTTCACTGATTTTTTTCCCTTTTTCTTTTCAGGTGCTGACCCACACCAGGTACATTCAAGGCCAATTTCAGTCATCTCATTCCAGCGGAATTCGAGCTCAGGTCTGTATTTCAGCAGGTCATGGATATACCGACCAAATTAGCTAATGCCACCCCGGGGTGTACCAACAGAGCTACCTAGTCCGATTCGACCTCATTGCTGAGAGGGGTAGGGCGGCCGTTCACAGCGCGCGATTATCATCGTAGATGGCGTAAGACCCGTGGTAGCTAAGTAATTAGTCTTTTATATATATCTGTATCTTTCGAGCTTTGGGAAATGTCCCGAAAGGCAGCAGTCGGTAGTCGCGTTGAACGGAGTGGTCTTCCCGCGTGTGTGTGTCACACACACACACACACACACAGAGAGAGAGAGAGAGAGAGAGAGAGAGAGAGAGAGAGAGAGAGAGAGAGAGAGAGAGAGAGCTGAGGAGAAGCGAGAACCGAGCAGGCGAAGAGGCAACGCCAAACCTGTGATAGGTATTACGTGGCGTTATCTCCCATCTTCTCGTCGGGGTTTCTCTCTTCGTCTTGCGCGCTTGGCGGTAAACAAGCATATGACGGCGAAGCATACAAATGAGAGAGCCGCTGTGAGCGTGGGTGATGAGGTAGGACCACCAGAGGCGGGAGAGAGCAGAGAGGGAGTAAAGAGGAGAGGGGAGAGGAGGACATAGAGCAAGGAGGCAGAGGTGGAGGAGAGGGAGGCAAGAAGAAGGGGAGAGAGAGAGAGAGAGAGAGAGAGAGAGAGAGAGAGAGAGAGAGAGAGAGAGAGAGAGAGAGGCTGAAACGAAGACGTCGAAGAAGATCTTCCTCCTTTTCTCGGACGGCGGGAGGACTTGTATTTATCCACATCCTCGTGTCGAAACCAGGCAAAGAAGATTCATTGAATTCTTCCGCAATATTGCGTGCGAGAAAGGCAAAAGATATTACTTTACCGGAGTGAAAATCGGCAGCCAATCGTGTCTTTCTACGGCTCACTGTATCAATCGAAAATGTTGAAGATTCCGTTCTTATCTCGGTATCAGGTGAGAGTCCTTCTCGTTATCAGAAATTGACACGTGGCAGTAGTGGCACAGGATGACGTGTGTAGTGATTAACCATATTACTCTTATTGTATCGTTGAAATGATTAGCGTGTCGAAAACTCCCGCCAAAATCGACGCCATGGGTTGATTGCTCAGATCTCGGGCAGGAATTTGTCCAGCACGATTTTGGGTTTAAACTTTAAAGTACTCCTCTGCTTTAGATCGCCGGATTTACTGCTTAATATTAAAGATGACGGCGGATATTAAGAGCATGATTGGATTGTTGAGAGATCCCGCCAAAATCGTCTTTTTTTTTTTTTTTTTTGCACGATTAGCCCTTGTGTAAAACCCTCTATCCCGGCGGTGGTAAGAGAACCATCAGGATTGAGGGTGTCTGTGTCGGGCTGCTCCATCTCGTATAGTTTGATTGCTCAAAATTCCCGCCGGAAGCGTCCGCCATAGGTTGATTTGGTTGTCGAAAATTCCAGCCAAAATCGTCCGGTATAGGTTGATTGCTCAAAATCCCGCCAGAAGCGTCCGGCATAGGTTGATTTGGTTGGCGAAAATTCCCGCCAAAATCGTCCGGTATAGGTTGATTGCTCAAAATTCCCGCCAGAAGCTCCCGGCATAATTTGATTTGGTTGTCGGAAATTGAAAATTCCCGCCAAAATCGGCCATTACTACTCTATTACATATCTGCGCGTGATATGGTCAAATATTTGTCGTTTTCAGAGCTAAGAATTTGTTAATCGATTTCAATAGATTATTAGATTGTAATAATTATTTGAAAATTTCAGTGTGCCCCCATTTTTTTGCTTTTTCTTTTTTCTTTTTTTTCTTCTGTTTTTCAATTTCTTTTGCAAATTTAGTGAAGGCAAGAGGAAGCAAGAAAACGCCGACAAGCTCCATCATTCCACTCGTTGAGGTTTTGTTTGCCGGGTCCGGATCGGGATGAGTTGCAGACGAGACCGGTAATGACGACTTTTGGAGTGTGGCGCTCGGCGGAATGCGGGACTCTTC